GTTTTCTGTAAAAAAAAAAATAAGTAGCAGAAATAACACTGATCACTTAGTTCTTTTTTATGTTTGAGCCAAACGTTTTCAGATCCTCTGCAGCTCCAGTAATGCTGGTGTCAGCTGGCTTTTATCCAAACTGTTCTAACWTTGTTCAAAAAAGATCCTTGCTTCATCCACTGTGATAAAACAGCATGGCTCTGCACACCATGTCTTCAGATTAGTTCCTCACTGGTTTGAATGCTGTCCTCCTTCTAAAGTTCTAAGGGTTTCCCTCAAGTCAAAGGTCAGGAGGTCGGCAGCTGCCCTGAACCTACAATGACAGAAAGCCAAACATGGGGGAGGTGAGGACAAAACTGAAAGGTGAACACAAAATGTTTTTGGTAACCTTCAAGCTGACATGGATTAGGACTTACTGCCAGTTTGCCTGTCTCTTTTCATCCATCATAAGAAGTTGTTTCCTAACGTTCATTCTGTGGGGTCAAACTGTCAGTTACCTTAAAGCTTCTGGATTGTTCGATTGTCTTCAGAGAAAGTGGCAAGTATGTTCCAAGGCTTGACCACTGTAGCACTCTGAATGTTGGAATCTCCATGATCTTAATCAAACACCTTCAAAGCATATAATGAACACTCCCAGAAGTGAGCACATCACCCCGATTTTTATTCTCTCTCCTCAGGCCTCCAGTCTGTTTTAGAATGGATTTAAAATGTTTATTGTTAACTTGTAAAGCTTTAATGGTCTTGCCCCACCTTATTTAGCTGAACTAGTAGCTTTCCGTTAGCAATGAGCGAATCTTAAGATCTTCTAATACATCTTTAAAGTCCAAATATAAACGTTGGGATAACAGGGCCTTTTTCTTGCTAAACCCATTCTGTGGAAACAACTTCACGTCTTGCACTCAATTACTGACCTGGGTCTTTTTAAATCTGATCTTGTAGTCTTTTTATTCAGGTTAGCTTTTAATAATGTGCAAATAGCCCAAGCGTGGAATTAAACAACAAACAGTCTTTTCTGACTAAATATGTTTTGTCTGTGATGGTGTCCATTTGTGTTTATTGGTGTTGTGTGGAAGTAGACATCCCCAAAACAATCTATTTCTCCACCAGAGGGCACACTGGTACATTTGCCAATCTCCTGGGAAATTTTGTGATAGATTTATAATAGTGCCCTCTGGTTAACTATCAGCTAGAACAGAGTTATTCAAATATATTGCTCCGGGGGCCACAGTTACTGCCGGTCAAGAGAGGGGCCGATCATCCAGCAATTAAAGTTATTCTGTAAATAAACCAAGTATTAAAAAGATCTGTTACCTTTGAATTAGTTTATTTTGCTGCATTTAAATGCAGCAAAATAAACGAACTTGTTCTAGCACAGGGCTACTATCACTATCACTACTTTTACAGGGTTTTGTATGTTGTATTCATGATTAATCATGAATACAACATACAGAACCCTGTAAAAGTAGTGATAATTAAACATTATCAAAAACAAAAAGAACACATCATGCCTCCTATTAGACCCAAATAATATTTTGACATCTCTGACTTGCCAAATTTTTAAACCAATTTTATTTTCACTTTCATCATTTTATCGTCAACTGCTTGTAGTTTTAACTGTCTTGAGTGTTTATAGAAATGGTTTTTACCAGCTTCTAGCCAAGATTCTGATGTTTCTGTCGATACCAAACATGCCTATGTTTATCTAAAAGAACTTGGAGTAATTAAAGTAGAAACCGGGGGTTTGGGCTTAAGAGATGAAGAAAGCAATTGGCCGCCAATTCAATAGCCCTGTGCTAGAACAAGTCTCATTCTTTTTTTTTTTGCTTATTTTATCTTTCTTATAATCATTTCCTTCTTGCCACTTCAGTAGAAAGCAGAACTGAATATCAGAATATTTGCATCTTAGCTTCTTCATCATCAGTGGCTTTTTTTAATAGGAGAAAAAGAAAGAGAAAGAAAAAAGTGAAATGTAATGAGAAAGAGAGAAAGAGAGATTAGAATATATGTGAAATATATGTTGAGAAAACACAAGACAGCACACCCGACATCTTGGCTCCACACCTACAAAAACAAAGATGGCAAAACCAAGCAACAAAAATGCATATCTATATAATTATAATGACTATAGCCTTGCTGAAAACCAAACCCATATACATATACAGTATAAATTTATACATATACACATAAACATACCCATACCTACATATCAGTACACTTTCATACAAATATACACATACACATATACTGTATCTATATATATATATATGCACATACCATTCAGTCAGTGCCCAAATAGAAAACCCAGGATGTAAACAATTCAATAGCCCTGTGCTAGAACAAGTCTCATTCTAAACTTCGGTTTTCCTCTGACGCTGCTACAAAGCTCAAAATCAGAGTTTCTTGAAGAATCTGATCAATATACTGATCTTGTAAAAAAATGTTCAAATTGGTTGCCTGAATAATATGCAGAAAACCAAATAAATTTGCAGTTAAATGCTTATTTTTAGATCTTTGCTTCAGAGATCTAAAACAAAATGGCCCCAAATCACATGATCTCATAATATTTATGAAACCCTGGTTGCACCTTATGTGGGGGATTCTACTTATGTCAGCACTGGAATGTAAATATTATTCTTACACTAGTGAAGTGAGGCATATATTAAATAGAGACTTGTTGATTCTCTTCCAATTTAAAGTAAATGACCTCAATTAATTACAAAATTCATTTGCTCAGTCACAAAATATCCACCAATATGTACACAGACCAAAACTAGGGGTAGCATTATACATGAGAATACATTTTGTATGCTTTTTAAACAAACAAACAAACAAACAAAAAAAGGATCACATTATATAAAATTTCTACATTATACAAGCTTGGGTTTGTTTGTGGTTATTAATTTTTTATAAGAGCAGACAAGTGATTTTTCTTTGTTCGCTTTTTGTTTTGTTTCCTTTAATGAATAAAATAAATAAATGAAAACAAATAAATATTTGAGATTGCGTAAATATAGTGGCATTTGTATTGTTTTTACTGTTGGTTTTAACTTTTGTACTGTGAACTTTGTGATCTTCTTAGCTGTTGTGAAGCTCTGTAAAACAGCCACCTAGTTTTCGTGAAAAAAGGGATCTTAGAGTTAGAAAACATCTATCACTCATCCTAACATCTTCAAAACTGTTGTGTAAAGTTGAAGCACTTTAAGGAACCGAGAAGATTTTCATGTTTTGCAGCTACCAGAGGGTGTGGCCGGGACATGTCAACAAAGTTGGACGTGACCCGTTTAGTGCATAATTGGCCATTTGGTACTGTTGTACTGGACAAACTTGAGAGGAGGACCGGTGACTGCTTTAGCTGGACATGCTCAACCAAGTTTCCTTGGTGCACTAGGGCCCTTTATGGTAAATGGTAAAGGGACTGTACTTATATAATGCCTTTCTATCCAACCAGGACACTCAAAGCTCTTCACACTACAATCTGTGTCCTCATTTACCCATTCACACAGCACTCTATTAGATGTCCTACAAAGCTAACATGTACAATCAATCTATGGAGACTGATCAGTGCCAATCACATTCATACACTGATGGGACACACATCAGAGGCAGTGGGGGTTCCCAAGGACACAACAACTAAGACAGCTGAAACAGGGGATTGAACCTGCAACCTACCAGTTCCAGGATGACTCCCCTAACCACTCTGCCAGCCGCCCCACATTGCTTATCATTGCTTGCAGTTTTAATTGACTTTTAAGAATTTGAATGTTTTTGCACAGTGCCCTGAGACAACATTCATTGTGACAATGCACCAYGCAATATGTTGAATTGAATAGACTTATTAATTCAGAAATTTGGGAACCTTCTTGGTAGTTGACAAACTCAAAGCACTAAAGCACTACTGCCAGCATCAGTAGTAAGAGTTTCCACTTGTTTCTGAGCTTTGTTGCACAGTAATGCACCAAACAGAAACAGACACATTTAGAAGTTTTCCAAACAGGAGTCCTCTGCTTTGTGTCTAAAGACAAAAAAAAAAAAAAAGTTCCAGTCATCTCAACAAAAACTTTTCAGTCCTGTCTAATCAATTAGAGGAAAAACACAGTTTACTTTAGTGAGTAAACATAACCAACCCTGGAGCCACTGTTGTTGTGTGACCTCCTCTGTAACTGCAGCCATGTGGCCGTAACACCGACTGAACAGCTGGACAATCTGTCTCTCTCTCTCTCTCTCTCTCTCACACACACACACACACACACACAC